CACTCTAGCCCGGGCAAAAGAGTGAGACTCTGTCTCAAAAAAAAAAAAAAAACAAAAGAGATCCCTGAGAGACAGAAAACAAAGTGAGCCCTACAATTGTCTCAACTCATGGCTTGAAAAAAGTTGAGGCGCAGGGAGGGGGAACTCTGGCAGAGCTTATTGGTCTTCCCTGAGATGAAGAGATAGCTGGGGGTCACATCGAGGAGTAACAAAGGAATCAGTTTCACAAAGAGAATTCTGGAGATATGCAGTCTCCCTCAAATATTCAGTTGAGTACTGATTAGCACATGCATGTCAGGAAATTATCCAAGGACAAGAAAGCCACCAGGCCAGGCGCAGTGGTTCACGCCTATAAGCCCAACACTCTGGGAGGCCAAGGCGCAAGGATGGCTTGAGGCCAGGAGTTTGAGACCAGCCTGGGCAACATAATGAGACTCCATCTCTACAAAAAATAAATAAATAAATTAGCTGAGCATGTTGATGCACACCTATAGTCCCAGCTACTTGGAAGGCTAAGGCAAGAGGATCACTTGAGCTGAGGAGTTCAAGGCTTCAATGAGCTGTGACTGTGCCACTGCACTCCATCCTGGCCAACAGAGCAAGACCCTGTCTCTAAAAAAAAAGGAGAGTTCTTTAAATCTGAGTCTAAAGGTCAGAGACAGAGAAGTCAGAAGTTCAAAGCATTAGAAGAATTTGATGCCCCCAACACTCTCTGCTCCCACTTAACATAGCTTATAAAACAAGACCCAAAATAATCATATGACTTCCAAGTAACTTAACCACATATTAGAACAAGCTCAAGAATATTTATAGGAATACAAAAATACCAAGCAAGATAAAATCTACAATGTTAGGTATCTAATAAAAAATTATAAGGCATGCAAAGAAGCAAGAAAATACAACCATAATTAGAAGAAAAACTAGTCAAGTGAAACTGACTAGAAATAGAACAAATGGTAGAATTAGAAGACAAAGATATTGAAAGAGAATAAATTTACCCCTATGTTCAAGGAGCTAAAGGAAATATTGAACATATTAGGTAGAGACTTGGAAGATATTTTAAAAGACCCAAATCTAATTTTTAGAGATGAAAAAGACAACGAGATGAAAAATTCATTGGACAGAATTAATGGCAGGTTAGACATTGTATAAGAAAAGATTAGTGAACTTGAAGACAAAGCAACAGGAACTATTGAAAAGGAAACAGAAGAAAGACTGAAAAAGACTAAAGAGACCAGTGAGTTGTGGAACAACATGAAATGGCCTAATAACAGTTGACCCTCGAACAACACAGGTTTGAACTGCATGGGTCCACTTGTGTGCCTCTTCTGCCCCTGCCACCCCTGAGACAAAGACTAACTCTTCCACTTTCTTCTCCTTAGCCTACTCAACATGAAGATGACAAGGATAAAGACCTTTATGAAGATCATTTTCACTTAATGAATAGTAAATGTATTTCCTTTTCCTTATGATTATCTTAACATTTTCTTTTCTCTAGCTTATTTTATTGTAAAAATACAGTATATAATACATATAACATACAAAATATGTGTAAATAAACTGTTGTTATTGGTAAGGCTTCCAGTCAACAGAAGGCTATTAGTCGTTAAGTCTTTGGGGAGTCAAAATTTATGTGCAGATTTTTGACTGTGTGGGGGTCAGCCCCCCAACCCCTGCATTGTTCAAGGGTCAACTATATGTGTAATTGGAGCCAACAAAGCAGGGGCATGAGAATCAAAAACAAATTGGAGGAATAATGGTTGAAAATTTTCCAAATTTGAGAAAAACTATAAACCCACAGACCCAAGAAGCTCAGTGGACACTGTGCATAATAAACATGAAGAAAACTACACTAAACCATTTTATAATCAAATTGCTCAAAACCAGTAACAAAGAGAAAATGTTTAAAGCAGCCAGAGAAAAACATGTTGCATACAGAGGAACAAGGGATGACAGCGATTTCTTGTCAGAAACAATACAAGTAAGAAGACAGTGGGACATGTTTAAATTACTGAAGGGGAAAACATTTGTCAACTGGAATTTTATTCCCAGTAAAATATCTCTCAAAAGTAAGGGCAAAATACACTTTTTTAGACATACAGAAGGTAAAAGAATTCATCAGCAGAAGAGCTGGACTACCTGAAATGTTAAAGTCTTTCAGGCAGAAGGGAATTCTTATGAGGTGGAAATCTGGATCTACACAAAGGAATGAAGAGCCCCAGAAATAATAACCACATGGGTAAAAGATTTTTTTTTTTTTTTGAGACAGAGTCTCGCTTTGTCAACCGGGCTAGAGTGCCGTGGCATCAGCCTAGCTCACAGCAACCTCAAACTCCTGGGCTCAAGCGATCCTTCTGCCTCAGCCTCCCACGTAGCTGGGACTACAGGCATGTGCCATCATGCCTGGCTAATTTTTTCTATATATTTTTAGT